AATTTTTAAAAACTGCAGCTTTCTGTGTCCTTAATCCCAGCTAGATTTGATGCCTTGTGGATCATATACAGAACCGGTTAAACATTTTAGAACATCCCAATTTTACCAGTTATTTATTGCAATTCAAGTCGTTTAAGTCCAATGAATAGCTTGAAATGGTACAAAGGAAAGTGAAGAACTGTCAGAGGTTAAAAAAAAAGAAAAAAGGTAACGTTACCCAAACTAAAAAATCATGTAAATTTCCAAATTATTTAAAAGAAATAGAGCTTTCAGGGAACACAACATAGGTTAATAATTTAAAGCTGTTCTGCACTAATGGAGGTTGATCAAGCCTTAAAAGCTGGTGCTACTAATTACTGTGAATGCTTGAAAAGCATTCACAGTATTGTTATTCTAATTAGTGTGAATGCTTGAAAAGCATTCACAGTATTGTTCTTCTAATCTTTATTATTATATTTTCTTATTCCGTACGTTTTTTGAAAGCCTACTCCTTCAAAACCGTTCAACTTAGAAAAACCATTCAAACATCGTTAGATTCCTATTATTTGGACATGATTGCTTCTATTTTTCTCATTTTTAACATTTATATTTTTAATTTTATTCAACTTTATTCAACAAAAATTTCCCATGTATTTCAATGGGGAGACCCTTCAAATTCTCATTCAACTTACTCATTTTTAAACTCTTACTACTTCCACATACATTGACATAGAGCCACCATTCAAACTTTAAAACGAAGACAAGACATTCAACTATTCAACTTGTATTTATCTTTTCAATATCTATTATACTTTTTCTTCAGTTCCAGTTTAAGTTTCATGATGTTTTTCACCCGTTTCAGAGTTTATAATGGGTGTGTATGGGACGGAATGTTGGGGCTAGAGTGAGGCAGCTCAACTGCTAGAGTGAGAGGAGCAAAAAAATTAATCTTAAAATATTTTTTAAAACTGCTGCTGTGTCCGCAGCGTTTGCTCTACAGGTATGATTTTACCCTCAAAACGTAGCCATCGTTGTCCTCTTTCATCCAATGTGTTTACTATTGTCCTAGGTGTTATGGTTCTTTCATAAATGTCACCAATGCACAGCCTCCTCCCTCCAACTCTTCCATAGACTCTAATGTTAAAATGGCTCAGAAGGTTCGTTTGAAAATCAGAAGAGCATGGTGTCTTTCCACTGTCACCACGTCCATATAATAAACTCCACAGGCATGAAAACTGAGAATTCAGTAGACTAGAAGCTGCTGTCGCTCACGGTGAAAGAATTTTGTCAATACGACTTTTACTTTTCATTTGGGAACGATTTGTTTCGGCCTGACTTTTCTGTTCATTTTAAGCAGCAAAAGTGAGGCGCATGTCTGTGTACGTGTGTATGGAGCCATTGGGTGCGGTCACTATAGCAACCAGGCTCACACCTGCCTGCTTAACGAGCTCTGCCTGCCACTGTACCAAGATTCATCTTAAGCACTTCTCTTTCAACTGCTGCTGTGTCCACAGTGTTACAGCCATCATTTTACCCTCAAATTGTCACCATTATTGTTCTCTTTCCAACACCGTATCTTTCAAAGCTCAGGCATTTAAACTTTTTAAACTGTGTGGATCAAAGTGGAGGAACACATTTGAGTCATTCAGTGATTCAAAGAATATGACCTTTTAATATTCATTCAGATGTTTTCTGACTCTAAATGTTCTTTTCTCATTTCTTAGGGTTTCTAATTTACATTTAAAACATTTCAGTTTTTTTCCAACTCCTTCTTCTGTGTAACCTTCAGCTTTTAGCAGTTCAGCACCTTTGTTTTCAGGTTAAATTCGTTTTTTTTTTGTTTTTTTTTAATCTCATTCAATATTTTAACTCAAAATTCAGCAATTAATTCATTTCAGTGCATACATTCAGATTCAAGCATTCACACTGCAGTTTCTTCAGAAAATGCACTTTCTAGTCTATTATTCCATATTCCGTACGTTTTTTGGCATCTAACTCCTTCAAAACCGTTCAACTTAGAAAACCATTCAAACACCGTTAGATTCCTATTCTTTTGGACATGACTGCTTCTATTTTTCTCATTTTTAACATTTATATTTTTAATTTTATTCAACTTTATTCAACAAAAATTTATAATGTATTTCAATGGAGAGACCCTTCAAATCCTCATTCAACTTACTCATTTTTAAACTCTTACTACTTCCACATACATTGACATAGAGCCACCATTCAAACTTTAAAACGAAGACAAGACATTCAACTATTCAACTTGTATTTATCTTTTCAATATCTATTATACTTTTTCTTCAGTTCCAGTTTAAGTTTCATGATGTTTTTTCACCCGTTTCAGAGTTTATAATGGGTGTGTATGGGACGGAATGTTGGGGCTAGAGTGAGGCAGCTCAACTGCTAGAGTGAGAGGAGCAAAAAATTAATCTTAAAATATTTTTAAAACTGCTGCTGTGTCTGCAGCGTTTGCTCTACAGGTATGATTTTACCCTCAAAACGTAGCCATCGCTGTCCTCTTTCATCCAATGTGTTTACTATTGTCCTAGGTGTTATGGTTCTTTCATAAATGTCACCAATGCACAGCCTCCTCCCTCCAACTCTTCCATAGACTCTAATGTTAAAATGGCTCAGAAGGTTCGTTTGAAAATCAGAAGAGCATGGTGTCTTTCCACTGTCACCACGTCCATATAATAAGCTCCACAGGCATGAAAACTGAGAATTAGGTAGACTAGACATTGCTGTCGCTCACGGTGAAAGAATTTCGTCAATACGACTTTTACTTTTCATTTGGGAACGATTTGTTTCGGCCTGACTTTTCTGTTCATTTAAGCAGCAAAAGTGAGGCGCATGTCTGTGTACGTGTGTATGGAGCCATTGGGTGCGGTCACTATAGCAACCAGGCTCACACCTGCCTGCTTAACGAGCTCTGCCTGCCACTGTACCAAGATTCATCTTAAGCACTTCTCTTTCAACTGCTGCTGTGTCCACAGTGTTACAGCCATCATTTTACCCTCAAATTGTCGCCATTATTGTTCTCTTTCCAACACCGTATCTTTCAAAGCTCAGGCATTTAAACTTTTTAAACTGTGTGGATCAAAGTGGAGGGATCACATTTGAGTCATTCAGTGATTCAAAGAATATGACCTTTTAATATTCATTCAGATGTTTTCTGACTCTAAATGTTCTTTTCTCATTTCTTAGGTTTTTCTAATTTACAATTGAAACATTTTCAGCTTTTTTCCAACTTCTTCTTCTGTGTAACCTTCAGCTTTTAGCAGTTCAGCACTTTTGTTTTCAGGTTAAATTTGTTTTTTTTTTTTATCTCATTAAAAAAGTTTTAACTCAAAATTCCGCAATTAATTCATTTCAGTGCATACATTCAGATTCAAGCATTCACACTGCAGTTTCTTCAGAAAATGCACTTTCTAATTACTATAGGTGTTCCAACTTTACTGGATTACTTACAGCCCCCGCTGTCTGCATAAAAGCAGTGTTGGAACACACTGTGGTACCACACCCTCGTGAGCAAGAGTTGAAACAGTATTGTGTGCAGAAAGTAGTGTATTGCTACAAAAATGGGGAGAAAAGAGCGATTAACAAAAGAAGAGAGAAAGACCATCATAACACTTAAAAATGTAGGTCAAGCTGCAGGTTTGAGAGGATGAGCTACAGCAAGATAGCCCTCGCTAAGCCATGAAACACCGCCATTGGACTACTGAAGACTGGAAGAAGGTATTATGGACTGATATAAGCAAGATTTGAAATCTTTGGTTCATCATGCAGGATCTCTGTTGAGTAGGTGAAAGGATGGTTCCACAATGTGTGGCATTAACTGTCAAGCGTGGAGGAGGAAGTGTGATGGTCCGGGCCTGTTTGCTGGATCCAGGGTTGGTGACTTGTACAAAACCACAGCATTCTGGAACATCATGCTTAGTTGGTCAGGGGTTCATCCTACAGCAAGATAATGACCCAAAACATAAGTCCAATCTATGCCAGAACTACCTCAGGAAAAAAGAACAAGATGGTGAACTTGAAAACACGGCGTGTTCAGCAGTGTCTCCAGACTTAAACTCCGTTGAGCTGGTTTGGGATGAACTGGACGGAAGAGCAAAGCGGCCTACAAGGTCCACATTTATGGGAACATCTGCAACAGATATGGGAGAATATTTGATTTCTATTGTAGAAAGAATGCCACGTGTGTGTTCAGCTGTTATATCTGCCAAAGGTGCCTACATCGATGAGTCAGAAGTTTAGAATACATTTTGGTCTATAAACTGATTCAATGATTTCTTTTTTAACTCCACTTGCTTATTTTTACTATGCTTTCACTTCAGAGTGCAATTAGACAGTAAACTGCATAATTTTCAATTAAAAAAAACTTGACAAATTGGGGTGTTTAAAAACCTTTGACTGGTAGTGTAAGTAGTGTAAGTCTATCGTATCCAGAGGTAATTTTGGTCAATAAGTAGTGAGAAAGAGGCAAATTCCCTTTCTTTTGCATTATTTTGAATTGAACGATTCAAACTATTGCTGTTGCAATTTACATAACATGTTAGAATCAATCAATAAAATCCAGTACAGTAGATTTTAAAGTATAGCAATATTTGTTCCTTTCTAGTGACATTATATGTCCTCGTTGCGGACATATAATGTCAGTGTTTTCTGACTGATATACTTGGGCCTTTCAAAGTACGTGTGCGTGTGTTGTATTCTGAGGGAAAAAACTCAGATATTTTCAAGATAGTAGAGAGAAAGGATAAGATTCTGTTTGAATGAGCCATGTGGCAAACACGGGGATTGCTACATTACATTACATGCTACAAACATACTCATGTATATATCTTTCTACGTAGCACTTTTAATTCTTATTCTTACTTTTATTTTTTGTCTATTTAAGCGCAATTTATGACAGTATGTTTGCACTGAAGCACCGCAGCAATTTCCTAATGTTGTAAACCTGCTCAACATTTGGCAATAAAACCTTTTCTGATTCTGATTCTGATTTACCACAGGGTCCACTGTTGCCTTCATCCTCCACATCTTCTCGTCTCCTCTCTCAGCTCTTGAAAGAAGAAACACAAGGTACTCATGTTCCTTCTTCCTGATGTTGCTATCACTACATATAGCTACATCTGCCACTATGGCTGTCTTCCTCTGCTTGTCCAACACTACTATGTCTGTTTGGTTAGCCTTCACTAGTTGTCCATCTATATTAAATTGCATTGAAATCAATTTTATTTAAATGGTAAATGGCCTGTATTTGTATAGCGCTTTACTAGTCCCTAAGGACCCCAAAGCACTTTACATATCCAGTCATCCATCCATTCACACACTGGTGATGGCAGCTACATTGTAGCCACAGCCACCCTGGGGCGCACTGACAGAGGCGAGGCTGCCGGACACTGGCGCCACCGGGCCCTCTGACCACCACCAGTAGGCAACGGGTGAAGTGTCTTGCCCAAGGACACAACGACCGAGACTGTCCGAGCCGGGGCTCGAACCGGCAACCTTCCGATTACAAGATGACCTGCCATCTCTTGAGCCACGATTTATTACATTCTGTTTTCATGGATGCCTGGATGTTAAACTTAATTGTTACACCTGGTAAAGCAGCAACGCTGATCCTTTCATTAAAGATGAAAACATTTAGAGAATTCTTAACTCTCAGTGATGCCGCAGTGATCATTTGACTTTGGGACCTGAAGCGGACAGAGTTTTGGACCCAGATTACTCCGTCAGGCTCCTGACTACGGTAGCTGTAATGCTCCAACAATCGATCAAGAGGTGCGGCTCCGATAAGCTTCCTAGCTTATCGAAGTCATACTAAAACATGGTTTGACAGATTTTTGAGCACTGTATACCACATCAAATCGGTTTGAGGTCAGTAAGCCCAACCAGAATTCATACATAAGCCGCGCGGATTATAAGGCACACTTATTAAAGGATTTTAAGTGCACCTTTTGGTGTGGAAAATACGGTTATTGTTTTGCCGTTAGTCAAGATGTTGGGTGTGGAAGAATACAAAATGTTTTTATTTAAAATCACTCTAACCTTGACAAGGCCAGAGATTTTTTTTTTTAAGAAAAGCAATAAAAAGGAAGGAATATCATTCCGGTTATCTGGAGGTCACATTTGTGAATGTAGCTCCAATAAAGAGCAACATTTTAATCAAATGTTTAGTACATTGACACTTTCATTAGTCTGTAATCATAGAGAATGTTTACCTGTTGCTTCAGTCAGCAGTAGGATCTATATTGGAGTTTCCAGAGAAAGGGACGGCACAATAGTGATAATTTTATTAATTATATATAACTATTAATTCATTCAGCTGAGTACAGTAAGGCTCAAAAGCAGTCTCATGTTTCTACACTTCAAAAAAACACATTTCTTTTTAAAATAACAAACTCATTTGTTAGCTGTTGGATTGTGAGGTGTTTTGAGCTCTGTCAAGTGTCACAGATAAAATGTACTTCACTTACTCAAGTCAAAATCTCCACTGAAGTTTTTGTGCAAAATATCCCACTTCAGTTTCACAGGAAGATATATGCAGAAGAGACATTATTCTGACGTCTTACTCTTTAAGATAAATATTAAAATATATATATAAAGAACATTGCCTGGTAACAAAAAAAAATCACATTTACTTGTACAGTGGATTTCTGTGGTTGGATAAACAACTACAACTCTTTTCCCCCCTAGACAGCAGATGCAGCACAGACAAAAGTTGTGGTTTGGTTTGATTTATTTGCTCAAATTATTTAATTTTAGTTGATAAAGCTGTAATTTAGGCCTGTGGATTACTAACTTAGATTTAAGTTATATGATTTATAGAAAGTGTGCAATAGTTACTTAAACTAATTTAGGCAGGTGCATAAATTTGGGCACCGTTGTCGTTTTATTGATTTGAATACCTTTAGCACTAATTATTGGAACATAAAATTTGTTTGGTAAGCTCATTGACACTTGACACAGGTAAATCCAGTCATGAGAAAGGGTATTTAGGGTGACCAATTACAAGTTTTTCTCCTCTTTGCATCTTCTCTCGAGAGTGGCTACGTGGGAGCCTCAAAACAACTCTCAAATGACCTGAAAACAAAGATTGTTCAACATCATGGTTTAGGGGAAGTATACAAAAAGCTATCTCAGCGATTTTAGCTGTCAGTTTCCACTGTGAGGAACATAGTGAAGGAATGGAAGACCACAGGCACAGTTCTAGTTAAGGCCGGAAGTGACAGGTCTTAGGTAAGCAGAGGCTTAGTTATTTGGGCATAACAAGAGGTGGTATGCATGACGGAAACAGAACACAGCATTCCAAGAGAAACACTTGCTACCCACAGTAAACTGTGGTGGCAGTTCCATCGTGCTGTGGGGCTGTGTGGCCAGTGCAGGTACTGGGAATCTTGTTAAAGTTGAGGGTCGAATGGATTCCAGTCAGTATCAGCAGATTCTCAAGAATCAATGACAAAGTTGAAGTTGCGCCAGGGCTGGATATTTCAAAATGACAACGACCCTAAACACTGTTCAAAATCAGGCAGAGGATCAAGTACAACGTTCTGGAATGACCATCTCAGTCCCCAGACCTGAATATTATTGAAAATCTACAGTGTGACTTAAAGCGGGCTGTCCATGCTCGGAAACCATCAAACCTGACTGAACTGGAGATGTTTTGTAAAGACGAAAGGTCCAAACTACCTTCAACCAGAATCCAGACTCTCAGCTATGAGAAGTGTTTGGAGGCGTTATTTCTGCAAAAGGAGGATCTACTAAATACTGATGTAATTTTTCTGTTGGGGTGCCCATATTTAGTTTAGGTAACTATTGCACACTTTCTGTAAATGCTATAAACTTCATTTCACTTCTCAAATATCATTGTGTTTGTCTGCTATATGATATATTTAAACGAAATTGCTGATCCAAACAACCAATGATTTATGATGGAAAATCATGAAAATTACCAAGGATGCACAAACTTTTGCATACCACTGTATTATGCTTTAGTTGTTTTAATTTTCATCTTTCCAGTGAAACAACAAACAATGCCAGTGTCAGTGGCAGTCGCAGTAGGACTGGTTGAAAGGTCTATACTGGAATTCTTTGATGCCTTCTCTTCTTGGTGACTTCCTGCTTGAGTGAATGCTGACGCATCTGGCTGCTGCTACTCAATGGTACATTTTCGATTATTTGGATTCAGATTTGAATCAACAGGGACATTCACACACACTCAGGACCAGATCAATCTCTGCCAGGGATTGATTTGTAATGATTGTCCTCAACATCTGCTACTCCAGCTAAATGTGCTCTGACATCTTATTCCCAGTGAGCTGCACTAGCTTAACTGTTTGGGCTATTTTAGCCTACCTGTTTGTCGCTCCGACCGGCTGTTTTTTTTTTTCCTCCACATTGTCTAAGATGTGGGCCAAGATGTTTTTGAGCTGGTCGGCACTATTCTGGATTCTCCTGACACTCGTCCACCATCCTACGGCTGGACTGTTCCGCTATACTGCCGCTGAGCTCCTGCGCCTTCACGACCAGCTGTCGCTCCCATCGCCGGCAGAGCTCCACTACCGCCTAGACATCATTTTCCAGCCTCACTGGAGATATATCCATCGTGGGTCCCGCAGGATTTTCCTCAACTCCAGTGGAATCAAATCATTTTGGCCTGCTACTCGCCGCCCTCGCAGGAACTCTGATCGGGCTGTCAACCACCGATCTCTAGCCCACCTCACCAGAGCACCCACTATGATTAGCAAAAAAGGAAATACTCCACTCAACTTCGGTCTTCTAAACATCCGCTCACTGACAAGTAAGGGACCTCTCATCCAAGACCTCCTATCTGACTGTATGTTTGACGTTTTCTGTTTAACTGAAACCTGGCAACAACCTGATGACTTTTCTCATCTAAATGAATCTAGTCCTCCGGGGTTTGTTTACTTTTCTAAACCTCACTGCTCAGGTTGTGGGGGTGGTCTCGCGGTCATTTTTCGCCAGCACTTGAAAGTCCTGCCAGTAAATGTTGATACCTTTAGTTCCCTACAGTGCCTTGCATGTGAGCTGACTGGACCTATTCCCACCATCATACACAGCAAATCCAGCATGTCCAAATTAACACTGTCGGATTTGATTTCAACACTATTAAAGTGTCTATATGGGTCCACACCAGAGAGTGTTAATTTAACTCTTTTTGGAGAGTTGGTACGTTAACTCTGATTTAGTGTTAAACACCAAATCTGTCTGGAGTTAATAATTTAACACTTGGTGTTAAGAGTTTATATATTAACTCTCAAAGAGTATTTTAGTTTAACTACGTAAGAGTTATCTTCTAATTCATTCTAAAAAGCGGGAATTTTACTGTTCTGAACTTCTAGAAATTTCTTTTGGAAATAAACATTTACTAAAAAGACGCAATGGTTTTTGAAAAACATTTATTCTGAACTGTGCACCACAATTTCAAAACATTTTCTGAAAGATGTAACAGTGTACATGTTCTCACTTTCATTAGAATTTTGTTTATCAAAAGGTCTGACATAGGTGAGCTGGTAAATGCAAATAACAGCATTCTCATCACTTATTTCTTCAATACAATATGCATGTCCTTCATTCATCCCTTTGTGGAACTTCAACGCACTTCTGCTCTCCCCCATATTCCATCTTCACAAGCATATCCTGTGCGGAGATTGAATAAAAATTAGTTGACACTAATTAATGGTACAAATAATCCAGTAAACAATTGCAGCACAGAAAAAAAAAGGAATCCTCTTTGAGCCATTACTTGTGTAAAGTATTTTCCCAAAAGACAAAGACACAGGCAACAGGTAATACTGAACTAAATGTAAAACCTCAACCTTTTTAATTTTTACCTAAACCGTGTGCACAAAACTCTGGAGGGATCTATGCTAACGTAGAACCCAGTCAGGACGCCTGCTACTGCTGTTCGTCTACTACTGCTTGTTTTTTTTTATGGGCGATCGTTTTCAGGCTTCAAGTAGCACCATTATACCAACATTTCACATTCTAGACATTGTTTTAGGTGTATTTGACCAAAAGTTTGACTGAAAATTCACATGCAAGCTTTTTTCAAGGCT